TTTTTTGTTTTTTTTCACATGAAGTATTTTTGTGAACAAATAGTAAGAACTAGAATAATTTCTTGTTTAAATGTACTGTTGAAATGTGACATAATCAATGTTTTAATAATGTAGTTTTAAATTCTGTTATTTTCATATAAGGATAAAAATAGTCATTTAAAAAAAAATCATTTAAATCAAAATATTGAAATGTAAAAAAACTAAATTTTCTCATTTTGGCTATCTCCTTTTACAATTCTACAGTTATAACACTGATAAAACAAAATTCATATAAATTAACATTATTCAGAGCAGCCTAGCCTTACAGTGCTATGCTACTATGTACTTTCATTCCATGGGGAAAAAAGTATTTTTTTAAATTCTGTTTTTAGGTGTCTAGCAATTTAGTTTGGATGGTCAGGCAGATGAGTGACTTGGAAACAAATATAGTCTCTGTGGAAAGACTTAAAGAGTACTCTGAGCTTACTCCTGAGGTTGGGGCCTTTTCTTGACCAATATTAGTTCTGGCTAAGACTCAATTTTGTAAACTACTGATGCCAAAAGAGCACTTAGCTTAAAAGTATTCTGTAATGAAATGCTTAAAAGAATTTTTGATGTGAATGATTAAATAATGTAAAATGTATTAGCATAAGATAGGTGGAACTGATTCTTTTCATTACCATGACTTGTTATTCAGAAGATTAGCTTCAAAGTATTGATTTTGTTTAATAATTTTTGTAACTATTAATGAAACTGTAGAATATTTATTCTCTCCAATAATTTAAAGGCGGACTGGATCATACCCCATCGTCGGCCTGTGCCAGGTTGGCCCCTGGATGGTAAAGTGAAGTTCTCAAACTACCAGACCAGATACAGAGAAGGCCTGGACCTGGTTCTTAAAGGCATTACTTGTGAATTCAAACCTGGAGAGAAGGTGATTTCATACTGACCTTTTTTTGGTTTATTGTGTTGAGGAAATGTTTGTGAATGTAACTTAACAAAAATTGTTCAAAAGAATTCTAAAATGCATTTCAACTTTTGGTTAGTCATAGCTGAGTATTTTATTTTTTTTTTTTACAGGAAATAAAAATATTTGAAGTTAAGTAATGAAGTAATGATTAGAGTTCAATGTACTTTTAAAAGTACTTGTAGTCATCCAGTTACATGAGAAGCAAATATAACATAGCAGTAACTTATTTCATTAAACAGAATAATAAATGATAATAAATAGAGATGTGTACTTACAACTGGCATCAGTGGTTTTAGCCATCGTTTTTAGTGTAACACTTAGAGAAATTTAGAAGCGCTTGAATGAGACTTTTTTGTGACAGCTGTCTTGAACTACTAGACTATATGTATAAGTATATTATGTGTAAACATTTTTTTTCACCATTGAGTTAAAAGTTTTTTTTGAAGTGAATATGAAAAGATTGCTTTTAAGTTGTACAAATATTTTATTTAATGTGTTTTTAAATTGACTGATTTAAAAGTTTAAAAAGGGACTAGTCCATTACATATCTCTGCTGTTGTATTCATAGTTAACTATTTATGGCTTAGAAATGCTTAAAACAGAAATAAAATTGTAATTGTACAATTTTGTATTGTATGTTGTTTTCCCCTACCAACAGATTGGCATAGTTGGTAGAACTGGTGCTGGCAAGTCATCTTTAGCTCTGGCATTGTTTCGGCTTATTGAGGCCACTGAGGGCAGCATCAGTGTGGACGGCATCAAGATTTCAGACATTGGACTGCATGACGTGAGATCTCGATTTACCATCTTACCTCAGGTTGCTTCAAACTTTGAACTTTATGTGTTTCTAATGCTATATTTCTATTTAGTATCTTATGCACTTAGGAGTTTTTTCATACATGATTAATTTCATTATGCAAATTACATTCGCTTATTTTACCACAGTTTATTTCATGATATACATGATTAGAAAATAGAATTGTTTTTCCATTTTTGCATCTGCTTCTATCTGACCTTAGGGCCCTTATTATACACGAATCACTTTTATAACACTCTATTATACATAGTTGTGGTACAAATCCCTAAATTATAGCTTTTATATAGCGCTACTTTCATGCTTATAGCATGCTCAGAGCGCTATCGTCCAATCTCATTTGTGGACCAGTGGGGGGAAGGGGTATCTGGGAGAAGGTTTTTCCGTGCTGCCTTTAGGGTCTCAGTAAACACAACTCTGCTCAAGTTGGATGTTGATCCTCGAGCCCCCTTCATAGGTAGCCAAGCCAAGTTCAAGCATACTTAGCCTCTTAACCATGCTTCTCATTAGCCCTGTCACAATGGACATTCTAATTATAGAAATATGCTCAAGATAAATCTATGTTTACATGAAACATTTTACAATTTTTTTCTTTTCAGGATCCTGTTCTGTTTTTTGGAACTCTTCGCATGAATCTGGATCCCATAGACCAATATGATGACCACCAAATCTGGGATGCACTGACCAGCGCTCACCTTAAAGACTTTGTGGAGAACATTCCAGATGGTCTGGAGTATGAAGTAGGGGAGGAAGGGCAGAGTCTCAGGTACTCAAGAACTCCACATGTTACAGGAATAGCCTACAAATAGCTCATAGAATATAGAATAGGAATATTCATATTCATTTCTCATTTTTTGGTTTCTTGCTCTTTGACATTGCTTCATTGGCCTTCATTTCTCTTTACTCTTCATGCTACACACAACAGCTGAAACTTAGACTGCCTTTTTTTAAAAAATAAGGCTCGTCTTAGTCTCTGAAGATTAATGAGAATTGCTGTATTTCAAGTAGCTATGCAGCCTCAGCTGTGACATACATATTTATTTTGCCACCTCCAAAGCAGACATAACCATTGTCCACTGGTGGTTGATTTAGATTCTCTTTAGAATATTCATTTTCCGAATATAGGGTGTGACAAGCTTGGTGGCTTTGATTTAATAGAATATGGGAATTTTATTTTTAGAAATGATTACCATGTGCTGTCTTTAATAGCTTATACAATTTCCGTTTAAAATCTATATTTATACAAATCTAGCTAACAACCTTTTACTTTTTTGAATAATGGCAATGACTTCAATTCCAAAGATTAAGGATGAGTGCAGTGTTTCACATGATTACGCTAATAAATTCTGAATACTTAGCTTGAAAATAATGTTTAGAAATATATTGCATGTCTATTCACTCTTTAATTCTACCTCTCTAATTTCCTTTCTGCCAGTGTTGGTCAGCGCCAGTTAGTCTGCCTGGCTAGAGCCCTACTGAAGAAGACCAAGATCCTTATTCTGGATGAAGCTACGGCTGCTGTGGACATGGAGACAGACACCTTGATCCAGAACACCATTCGTACAGAATTCAGCAATTGCACCATCATCACCATCGCTCATAGACTCAATACTATCATGGACTATGACAGGTTGTTGTTATAGAGATACAGTTGAAATATTGAATATTTAAGTGTAAACCAGTGTAAGTCAGAAGACAGGTTAGGTTCTTACACAAGAAGTAATGTTTATATGCTTATAGCAAAAGTATTTTTGATACAGTATTGAATGCATTTGGAATGTTCAGTCTAGAGCAATGATTTTATAGAAATATCATATTTTAATCAAACTTTTTATTCAAGGTTCATGTGAAATTATTCTAGATGAGGTAATTTGAAGTTAGCATTGGTTTAGACATTTATTTAGAAATATATGACAGACACTTTATTTGTCACTTTAAAAAAAAACGATTATAGAGTTTTAACCATTTTAAATCAAATCAAAGCAAGATCTATTTATTGTTTGTATGATTTAACTTATTTCACTAGAGTCAGTTTCGATGACTCTATTATGGATTGTGGGTCATCGTCATAATTGTTTCTATGTGTATCTTTCAGTATGATTTCATATCATTGATAGTTTAATAGAACTCGGGCTGTTTCATGCTGATCTTACCAATCTTAGTCAATTTGAAATATGAAGTTTGACTGAAAATATTTTATTTTCTAGTGAAATAGCATATTGACCATGATGACTTTGTACAGTAATATGGTCTGTATAGTGGAGAATTGTATTTTCCCTGTCACACTAGGAGCAGACTTTTCCTCACCCCACAGTTCAAAATTTCCCCAGGTTTATCATTCTTCTTGCATTGTATAGCTTGACCCAAATGTATTTGGCACATCAGCTATTATTTCCCTTGAGTTCTCCCAAGTTTACACTTAACCACAGGTTGAGAAAACCTGATTTTTATATACATTATTTCAATAGTCACATTGAAGTAGATTATACTTCATTAGTAAGCAAAAAATTATAATTATGTTAGAAGTTTTTTTTTATATAAAAATCCTTTTTTTTTGTTCTTTCAGAATAATGGTTCTAGATGCTGGGCTTGTGAAAGAGCTAGACACCCCAAGCAACTTATTGGCCAATTCTAGGTCTGCTTTTTACTCTATGGCCAAGGAGGCTAATCTCATCTAGTCCATGATCTCTGTAGTAAAACAATGTTGTTTTGTAAATTTGGAAGTAAATGTGAACTGTTAAAATGCTTTTTGTACTTAAAGAAAAATGTTTTACAAAGTTTTGGACAATCCTTCAAAATGGAACCCATGGAATCCTTCTTAACCCAAACCTCCTGCTGGGCTGCACGGGATGACTGCAGGCAGGGTTCTTGTTTGGGATCAGTGTGAGGACAGTCTTAAACGCATACTATCAGTGCTAAGACCCTTGAGTTGTTCATTAGAAAAATCAAAATGTGAATTATATTTCTGTAGTATTTGAATTTTTTTTTTTTTTTTAAAATTGGAATGATGTGTCTAAAACACCTAAGAAAGTTCAATGTGTACAGTGCGTATTTAAGTAATTTTGATGAGAAAATTTTAAAGACTCTTAGTATTGATGTTATAAAAAAGGTGTTTCAACTTGTAAATATCTAAACAAAAAATAATAAAATAAATACTTGAAGTCCACAACTCACTTATCTACAGCTGATTTTTTATATTAATGTTTATTAACAATCCAATGGAACAAATGAACAAATAAAAAAACTGTAGAGAAATAAAATGAACATCTGAAGAAAAAAAAGTAAAGTGTGGAGTTTGTTTGCATTCCCCTTCAGTTACATAGAATAAATGAGCAGCTCAGAATTTTAACATAATTGTAAAATTTAATGACAGTAGAATTTACATGATTATGTGTCACTTAATAATTATTATTTTTTTTTAATTTGTAAAAAGATTTTATCTTGAAATGAATTTACTTGTTACCATATAATTATTTTTTTTTTTCAATAATGTTTTGATGATGACTTGTGCAATTATAAATATCTCAATAAGAAGCAATAATGAGATTTCCCTTTTTCGATACCAAACAAAATAATTAAATACCAATCATTAATCTCGGTTTTTTTTTATGGCTTCGTATTTTGTTAGGTACAACCCAAGTATATATAAAGACTCAACTTGATCTGAGAATGGGTGTAGAAGTAATAACTACAAACATTGTACCAGACAAAGTTATTTGATATAAGCTTTTACAAAGCTTGTATCAACTCTGTCTGCCTGTTTGGACACGTTTTTTCTCCCACGCCCAATCTCGAATTAAGCTGAAATTTAGCAGTTATTTATGTTAACTGAGAACACAAGAATCAATTTAAAAAAAATACCAATCAGTTTATTAACTATTGGTAATTAATTATGTCATTTGGTATCAAACAAGGGAAAGAAACTGTACTTGATCAAAAAATGTAAACTTGTACAACAGAATTATTTCCCATGTTAATGAAAGAAAACAATTACAGACTCATCACTGGGATTGTCTTCTCTTGTCATGATTATGATTAGCTAAACTGACAGTGGACATGATTTCCTTCATTCTGACCAAAGCCGCCCATCAACCTGGTCATAGAAAGGAAATACCTTATCAAATATATAATATCAAATTGAAATAACGCGTGACAATATGTATGGGAATTTTTAAAAAAAAGTTTTTTTGAAAGTTCCTTCAGAAATATCAGGTCCTGGTCCTAGCCAACCACAGCAGGACATTAGTTGGTGACTTGTTACCTCACTCCCAAGTAATACTACATGGATAGCTCTATGTGACGTTTCAAGTTCCCCTATTAGACTTTGCTATCTATAGGGCAGATGATGTATAGTTCATCCGTTTCTGAGGCCCACGGTTAACGAGGATGTCATGTGGCCAGCACAACGACCAACTGCCTTTACTTTTCGTCAACAATTGTCAGGTACCCGTTAGAGCAGGGTTGACTCAGAGGCGCACCAAAAGATACAGAAATAAAAAAAAATCCAAGTCTTCACCAGGATTTAAACGCTGGATCCCCCCGGTTCGGAAGCCAAGTGCATTACCACTCAGCCACCTTGAAGTTTTGGTGCAGCCATTTTGGCGCTATGGTCGTTTTGGTGCGGCCATTTCTGCTTCAACTTTTGTTTTTACATGTTTCGAACATGTTGTCAGAGTTGAAGATTATTTACATTGTAGCCCTAATCTCTCGTATAGTGGCTGGAAATAGCGGCTAGCAGGTTTGAACCCGGGATTATCCAGACGGCAACCCAGTGCGCACATCATACAACCAGGCAGCCATTGTAGTTTTATAAATAGCTTGTGTTTAATAGCTGCTCTGTCACAAGCCGTACGACGGTAAGTACAATGTTCGTGAATTTCTAAAGGACTAAAATTTATATTCTGATAGACAAAAGGCCATGATAAGGCCTTAGATGAAACTGTTCAAGTGATCTGGTCTCCATCTAGTCTGAGAAGCAATTAGCTAAGTAAATGTTCAAGAATACACATCAATGACATTCACTGTTCATTATCTCTTTAACAAGTTTTATTTGCGGCTCCCAAAAAGGGAATAGCTGCTATTAGTTTTGTGTGGTCTGACTGTCCGTCCGTCTCGTTTAGATCTCGTAAACTAGTTCTTCATAGATAGAAATGTCTTGTCTCAGTAACGAAAAAAAAATCCATTATACAAATATTAGGCCTATTCCTCTAATGTCACTAGCCTAAAACTGTTGCGTCACAAGTACAATTAACCGTTAATGTATTCCTTGGGCGTATCCTTGGTTCAACCCCCCCCCCCCTGCATCGAAATTTAGTGACTGATTTTTTGCTTTGATTTTGTTTATTTTAGGTGAGATTTTAATACCAGAAATAGTGCTTGGCGGCGGGGCTCCGCCCCGCGATGGGGGACCTCCTAGCGCGCCCCCAGACCCCCTTGCAGGCAATGGCTGGGAATCTTCAATTTTTCCACTAACTTCAGGAAGAACCTATTATAAGCACAATAAACGTCTTCCGAAAGAATGAAGGGTCAGAATGTAATAAAGATGATGTACGCACACACAAATAAATATTTTTTTTTTCGAAAAAAATCCTGGCAACGCCCATGATGTATTCCAAACTTGAGTTCATCTAAATCTTCAGTGTTTATTAAGACAACGACTACCTATGGAGACTCATTTATGTCACTTACAGGTCTATACCCGTGGTTTGCGTTAAAAAAACTTATGTCAGTCACACTCGTAGGGTCAATAAGCATTTGATGTCCAGTTAAACAAAGTGTCATCAGGAGTAGTTGGACAGTGTCAACCTGTTTGTTATCCAATATTTCTGTCATCTGCGCTACTAATGTTAATGTATCATAAACTTTGAGTATCGTACTCTCTCAGTCTTTAACTCACTTGCAAGTGTTGATGTATTCTTGTGACCGAGTACTGAGTCTAAGATCCACAGCTTGGCCCAGATAATGTTTAGATGTACATGAGTGACATGCGCCTGCCAGTTCTGTGACCTACATTAAAATAACACACAAACATGTGCATATAAATAAATAAATATGTACATATATCATGGTGACTTTCTTGGGTCTAGTGAGTCCTGCAGAATTATAGAGGAAATGCCATAGAATTAAAAAGGCATCTCGGATGACTGCATCGCAATTAATGACATCCATAACATCAATGTTTCCCAAACTTTTTCCTTAACGGAACACTTCGCACTGAAAATTTAGCAGAACCCTATTTTTTTTAGTGATTAATTTACGTGTTACCAACTAGTTAATTATTCCAGTACTTCACGGAACACCTATTCAGGCCTCGTGGAACACTAGGTTTCGACGGAACACAGAATTTCAATGGCAATTGTAGCCCATGATGAAGACTGTACGGCCAGATCAAAAGATCATCAGGGTTTGCAAAGACGTTTCTCCAGGGAAAAGGAGAGGCAGACAAAATGGGAATACAATAGCAATGAATAAAAAAGATTCTAATCCTGGCAATGGAAAGAGAGGAATGGAAAAAGAGAGGATCGACTGATCATGCGTGGTGCCCCAACCATGTGAAAGTGGTGAATCCAGAAAAGCGGAAGATAATAAGAAGAGTATAGACCAAACCTCCAGGTAGCATTTATTGTATATTATTTACAGCTATTTGCAAGCCGACACTAACAGTTAAATAGATCCACATGGAGAGCGAACAAAAAGGAATGGTCCCGGATTGCAGATACCATACACAACAGTAGTAGAAAGAAGGGTGAAAGTGCAACGGCGCCTGGTAATTACAGATGCCCAACCTGTGACCGCAGCTCTGCATCAAGAATATGCCTCTTTATCACACAAGAAGTTGCAAAAGGAAAAGATCGTCTCACGAGACGTAAAATGCCGCAGATTTGCAAGCTATCCCGGCACAATCAACGAATAATGATTCGACTGTACAAAAAGACACATCAGAATGAGGTAACACATGTGCTGGATGCTGAAAACCTGAACCATCGAAACGCGTTTGTAAAGTGTGTCACCAGAGAATGCCGGCCGTGTCCTCCAGATATGTACACTTTATTGAGACGCCTGAGCTAGAAGTTTGCTCCAAAATATCCTATGGAAGAAAACCTGTTTGAAGAGCTGCCTGGGATATAGGACAAGACGCCTGAGCTAGAAGTTTGCTCCAAAATATCCTATGGAAGAAAACCTGTTTGAAGAGCTGCCTGGGATATAGGACAAGACGCCTGAGCTAGAAGTTTGCTCCAAAATATCCTATGGAAGAAAACCTGTTTGAAGAGCTGCCTGAGATATAGGACAAGAACACGATACTGAGAACATAGAAGAAGAAATTTCCGACAGAGAGACAAAAATCGTATTTTTATTATTATCAAATTATTTTTTTTGTGTGCAGTTTATATGAAATGCCTATAACTGTTTAGATGCGTTAATGAGGAAATGTATGACACACGACAGTCCATATAATAACTAGAAAGGTTCGAAAAATATCATCTTATCTTATAAATTACAGACTTTACATTAAAAGAGAAGATGATGACGACCTAATTTAATAACCCCCAAAAATATAATTTATTACTAAATGTCACGATCATCAATGGTGCTAGATGTCACGTTGAAGATTATCTTGATCTATATTGCACAATCAATGATCGTGGTTGCCGAGGATTTAAAAATCGTCAGTTGATAAGATGATCATTTAGAAGTTGCCAGTTGATAAGATGATCATCTAGAAGTTGCCAGTTGATAAGAGGATCATCTAAAGGTTGCTAGTCGATAAGACGATCTAAGTATGTTATTATTATATTCAATGAAGAAATTTCTCTTCGACAAATACAAATACTTTAATTCAGAACTTGGAAAAGCTATTCACAAATATTTACAATGATATACTTTGATTGAATAAAACACAAATTAAATTTCTACTAGTTTAAATGATCTACACAATAATATGATCATGTCATCTTCCTTTGAGTTACAACACGAGACTTTAGTACATCTTCTCTCTAACACGTTCCGCTCGACACTGCCGGCAATCTAGAATCTTTCCCCGGACTCTAGAGCGTTACCACATGACTAACATCTCTCCGTCGCATGGCCAACCCATAAAATACAACTTAACATACAATAGTTAACATTTCTGACCAATTACAATTATTCTAATAAAAGGTTTCTGTCTACTTGGATATCCCCGAGGTAGCTGAAATTCTGCCGACAACCTTGGGCTAAATATAGACAAAGCGTACGTGACAATAAACAAAATAATACGAAAACTATTTTTTAAATGCCGAAACTATTTTTAAATGATTATATGATTTGGGCTTTCAGAGCGCGTGAATTAATCAGTTTACTTAAAGTAAAAAAAAAAAGAGACTTCAAAAAAAAGGACATCACTTTACAAAAGTATTGGACTTACATAGACCTTGCCTTTGCTGACCAATGTAATAAGATACGCTAACAGCTTGTCAGTTAGGCAGACGCTACCTCCAGGGGCTGGTCCTGTTTTACATTCACTGCATGAGT